TCATAGAAAGTACATAATTAATGAATTATTAGACCAATAGAATGGGCCTATTTGGTCACATGCATGGACCTTTATATCTGATTCTAGAACTCATTAATAATTCATGAGCTATCAGTCCAATCAGAATCCAACTAGTATTGGGTCACATGATGGACCTTTATATCCCGATAAAGCACTGATGTTTTATTAATCAGTTCTATATCAGATATAAAGAACTGATGTTGAAGGTCATCAGCGCTTTATCGCAACCCAACACTAGCAAAGATCTCAGTTTTAATGTCGCATCATAGACCTTTGCTAGGTTTTAAATCAGTTTGAATCAATGTGCAGATATGCAGTATAGCATAGACTAGCCGTTCTTACGTAAGGGATCAAAATTCTTTCATTTGTGACAAATGCACATGCTCAGTAGAAGTTTAACATGCATAATCTCTGTTTTCGCATTTTTTAGCTTTTTTCTAAAATGATAACAATTTCTGGATGTTGGAGTTCTAGAAGTAGTATAAAAAACTTGCAGTCGTGCTTTATCGGGGATATAGACACTCGGCCTTTGGCCTCGTTTTTTAAACACTACTAAAAACACTCCTTATTAGTAAGTATTTTAAAGAATACTAATAAGGATGACCTTTATCTGATATAAAGGCCATGACCCTAGCAAATGTCTCAGGTTTGATACCTCATCATTGACCAAATGCAAAATTGTCAACAGATTGCAGTTAACAGGCATCAGCACTTCTATTTTACTTATGCATAATCAATGTGGGAAGACAAGAGTGCTTTGTTATGTGTTTTGAGCATGATTAGTCCGCCCCATCTCAAAACTTATTTTTATGACCATTTCTCCAAGAATCTTAATGGGTTTGAGTTTTARATTAGTGTGTTGGAGTTTTTGAAGCTGTTCGATAAACTCGCAAGTCATATTTTATTGGGTGTAATTAAGTTCCTTGTCTACGGCTCAAATATTTATTTATGCCCTATAATTAAAACACTCTGCTCATTCATTAAACAGTACAGTCATATCAATTTCTAAAATAATGATTGCAATGGTCAAGTAAGAGATAGACTCCT